AGGCATAAAGTAACAATAACTTCCATAGGTAGTACACCACATGGTCATCTTTATCAATTAGTCAGTTCTGTTTTGTTTTTAACAAGAACTTCCATAGGTAGTACACCACATGGTCATCTTTATCAATTAGTCAGTTCTGTTTTGTTTTTAACAATAACTTCCATAGTTAGTACAACAAATGGTCATCTTTATCAATTAGTCAGTTCTGTTTTGTTTTTAACAAGAACTTCCATAGTTAGTACACCACATGGTCATCTTTATCAATTAGTCAGTTCTGTTTTGTTTTTGACAATAACTTCCATAGTTAGTACAACAAATGGTCATCTTTATCAATTAGTCAGTTCTGTTTTGTTTTCAACAAGAACTTCCATAGTTAGTACACCACATGGTAATCTTTATCAATTAGTCAGTTCTGTTTTGTTTTTAACAATAACTTCCATAGGTAGTACACCACATGGTCATCTTTATCCATTAGTCAGTTCTGTTTTGTTTTTGATAATAACTTCCATAGGTAGTACACCACGTGGTCATCTTTATCCATTAGTCAGTTCTGTTTTGTTTTTAACAAGAACTTCCATAGTTAGTACACTACATGGTCATCTTTATCAATTTGTCAGTTCTGTTTTGTTTTTAACAATAACTTCCATAGTTAGTACACCACGTGGTCATCTTTATCCATTAGTCAGTTCTGTTTTGTTTTTAACAATAACTTCCATAGTTAGTACAACAAATGGTCATCTTTATCAATTAGTCAGTTCTGTTTTGTTTTTGACAATAACTTCCATAGTTAGTACAACAAATGGTCATCTTTATCAATTAGTCAGTTCTGTTTTGCTTTTGACAATAACTTCCATAGTTAGTACAACAAATGGTCATCTTTATCAATCAGTCAGTTCTGTTTTGTTCACAAACCAACTGATAATCAGGCTTAAATCTTCATATAGGCATGCCAATGATATATATATTTGAGACCCACATCCTTAATAACATAACTAAATGGTTTACTTGTAAAGTATCCTTATTAGCAGAAAGTTTAGCTTTTTTTTTTTCACAAGACAGAGACAGGTTACATGAAAATGTAAGGGCTAAGAAATTAAGAATTCATTAGAAGAACTGAAGTGTAAGCTATATACAATTAGCCACAATACTAGATGTAGAGTAAATACATCAGTAGTAGTTTACTTGTTTTAGGATAACTTTTAGGATATGTTAAACAATATGTTATCTCAAGGGATAAATAACACTACAGCTGCCATAAAATAAAACATCAATATCATCAGAAGGGATAACTAGCTGGTATTTATTCACGGTACACTTTACTTCACTAAAACCTTGTCAGATCTGTCAGTGACTACATCATTTGAACCAAAGCAGCTCAAAGGAGCCCAATTTTTTGCTACTTTCCATCATCAGGAATGAGTAGAAACTTTTTAGCAAGCCACAAAGGTTAAATAAGCAAATACTGAAGAGTTGTGTCATGCAACATACAAGTTTATTAACCTTGTGGGTCAAGTTCAGAGGAGAAAGAGCACAGCATTAGGAGGAGCTCGTTAAATAAAACAGTAGGATTCCAATATTTAGTTGGTACACAAAAATAGATATTAAGTTTATTAAAGTTAATATTTTCTTACAATGAAAATGTATTTCTGATAGGTACATACCTCCTGACACACAAACCCATCTCGATGTTCTTTCTGCCCTCTAAGCATTGCTAAAAAAAATTTTTGCACTCAGTCTGTATCACCCATCAATTTCGCACCATATTTGAACAAGTACATATCATGTGACAACTCTCCACCAATAGTATTGTACCACCTATACTGTCACAGCTAGCTTCCTCTACCATTTCTGCTCCATCCTCACATTCAAGAATTGGAAGGATCTAAAACAAGCAGTGGGGAGGAAGGGTGGGAGAAGGTAAATACATTTTCAGGGTAAGAAAATGTTAACTTCCAATACAGTCTTACCTCCATTTACATAAAGCTAGAATTCCACATTACAAAGGTGGAGAGGCCAGTTTAAGCTCACAATATTGAAACCAAGCAGAAAGTGACCATCCGAAATGAAAATGAAGCACATTTTAGGGTACCGCACTACTTCTGGAACAGGTATGCTCTTCGACCTTGAAATATGAAAAGGATGTGCACAAATGCAATTTGTTTTGAGAGGTGCAATCCATAGTAAAATAGAAACCAAATTAGCTACGTACGTACACAACCTCAACCAGACAGACGAAGTTCCATAACTCGTCCTCGGCATTAGAAGGTTGAGGATCAAGAAAAGATAAAATAAATATATTGTAACAAACATAGTGGTTAGGTCAATTGGAGAGTGTTATATACACACTCATCAACCCCAACCATAAGTAATCATGAATGTCATACGTCAAGCAACTGGAATTACGAGATAGCTTTCGGCCCAAACCAGATAAACTCCCAAAATCACCGTAGGAGAAAGAAGTACAACAGAATGAACCTGGCATTAAGGGGTCATGGCATTGCCTCAACTCAACTGTAACAACATTGTAATACCTGTAACCGGTATTACAAGCAGAAATTATAACTCACTCAACCGTAAATGCTAGGAAGAGACATCCTGCACCCAGAATTATAAGGAGGACACGCAACATTCGCTCAACCATAGGAACAGTGTATGTACATCCTGTTGCTGGGTGTTACAAGGTAGATGAAGTCCCTGAAACTCAACCATAGGAGCAGAGAAAAAAGTTCCTGCAACCAGTATTAATGAGAAGAGAGGCCTCTATTGCACACAACCATAGGAACAGGGCGGTGTTGTCCCAAACCCAGTATTATGAAAAGGATCCCGCAAAGGCTGGACCTGTTCCAACCGACAGCTGTCCACCTGGAAATAAAATATCCAGGGGAAATGAAAGGAGGGAAACCAGCTTTGCTCTCTTCTTACTGAGTGTATAATCATGAGTATGTATGGTAAATTAAATTTCTATACTCACTCAAGAGGAAACCTACATGGTCCACCACCCCAGTGACTGGGAACTGCTAAGGACTCCTATGCTCTACTGAAAGAAAAAAGGGGGAGAAGTAAAAGTGGTGGGGAGTTCAGAGGAACATCACACCAAAGAAAGTGCAATGGGTGTCCATGATTTCCTATTTTTAATAGCAGACCAACCCTGAGTTATTTAATCAAAGGGTCAGCAGGGATGGGCAGAAATCCCCTTCTGCTTTACTCATGAAATCCATGAGTAATGGCCCGCCATTGAGTGAAATTGACTGATATTTAGATATATATATACACCACTGGGTATGCCACCAGCAGCCTCGTGGAAAACCCAATCTCTAAAGTGAGTGTTATAGTGTAACCAGTAAATAGTGCAGGTTTGAGGCCAAGCATATCTGACCAGGCAACATCCACCACAGAGTGAGAGATCCCATTATCAGTGGTAAAAACTAGGGTTGCTGAAAATAAAAACATAATTGATAAGAATTACCTCAACTGTTCTGACCCCATTTTGACTCCACCAAATATAACTCTATGTAACAGCATGGAGCCAAAATAGCATTTTGTAGTTTGAGTAAATAATACCTACAGTATCTCCAGTCTTATTTGCTAGCCCAAACCCTTAAGAAAACATAAAATCTGAAACACACAGTTTTTTTTTCAGGATATTGTAAATTTTCTAATTTAAGTTCTTGTAAAGTGCCAACCTCCACTACTGCCAATAGCAACTCATTCCACATGCCACCACAAAGAATAATACATACTTTACACACCAATGCTGCTAAATTAAAAATACAACTGTTTATTTGACTAACTCTTTAGGTCAGTTGAGAGTAAGATATTTAATAATCAATGTTAAAAGAAATGATGCTTCTCCAACAATCATACACAATATTACATGAATAACTACTTATTTTTATAGTAACATGTGAAGGTCAAAGTCCGCGAACTTCCGGTCAAATAACTTACAAAAAAATAATAATTCAAGGTTAACGTTCATTGGAGAAATATAATCTACAGTGGTACACGTTTACATCACAAACACTGAAACCATAGTTCAAAATATCGCATGAATTATGAAGATTATAAAAATAAAGTTATAGCAGAGCACCTGAATATTATACAGACACAATTAAGGAAGATGAGGTATGACATACTGACAGCCAGGTTATTCCTAAATTTTCAAGTATATATATATTAAGAAACGATACCTCTGTATAACTAAGCCTAATAGTAATACAAATTTCCACCTTGGATAACCCTTCTGAATCTAGCTTACAATTTACATCCTCATTTCTACTGCTAATCAGAGTGACTGAATTAATTTACGAAGATAACACAATAACAGCATTTTAAAACTTACTGATTTTTGTTTTTGTCACCTGCATGAGTTTCGGTCACCAGTTTAGCAACTCAATTTTACTTTCAGTTTAGGCTTTTACCGTTTTAGATCTTAACTTTTACATTAAACTTTTCAAGTTCTAAAGTAACAATAATAGTTATCAAAACGATTGTTGTATTGATATTTAGATAATTCACCGTACTTGCGTAAACGGTAAGATGTTAAAATAGTTCTGCAGAATATAGAACAGAAAAAGTTAGATTGGGGAATTTTCAATTAAACATCTACCTTAAAAACTGAAGTTTAAATCACAATTTCGCGTGATTATGCGTAAGTAATACTTCAGGAAATTCCGTTTAATCTGGTGAAACTTCATGGAAATACCTCTACGTCACACGACCTACGCTTCTTGTCTATCCGCCTCGTCTTCTATAGGACGCTGGATAAACAAGACTAATATTCAATCACTGACTCTGATTGCAACTTTATAAATTATTAAACGATTACTTTTATATTCAGACAGTTCACTGTAATTTTGTAAAGCCGTATGATTTAATAATAAAAGTCAACCTAGTATGAAACTCAAACTAAACTCCTGTGCTTTTTCTTTAATGATGACCTTCACTGTATTTTGATTTTAAACAAAATTATATTTCAAACTACTTATAAATTTATGTTCGTTTTCAATCTGAACAAATTGAAGCCGTGCGATATATCCGGGTAAAACTGAAATTATTTAATTCCTGTACCCAAGTGGTTTAGCGGTAAGTTAACGGACTTACAACGCTTAACTCTGGGGTTCGATTTCCTTCGATTATTCAAAATATAATATATATCTCTCATTTAATGGAACCGAGCGTTGCCAAGTGGTTAATGTGCCAGAATATGAATACGATAATCTATGGTTCGCGTTCCATTGCCTCAAAATAGCAATTTGGAACCGTGGGTGAGTTATAAGAGTAACAGTCAAATCCCGCTATTCGATTAGAGTCCTCCAAGATTTGATGGTGGGCAATGTTGACTACCTGCCCTTCCTCTTGTCCAGAGGTCCTACGCTGGGGTTACAGGACAGTGTCAGGTGGATCGTAACAAATACACGATACTGTTAAGGTACTCAGTATCCATAGGTTCATTGGGTGAGGGCCTTGTACTTAAGAAATGTGGAAACCCATACTATAGTCTAGTATGTCAGCTCAATTTTAGAAACGGCTTGCACAGATAACACTTGTGTACCTTTGCGTGAATATCCGAAATAAACACACATACAGACCAATGCATTTGATATTTCAAATACATTATATTGGCTCTATTAGAATGCATAGCTAAATCAGCAAACTTGTCTTCAAAAACAGAAGAAAAAATGAATTGTTTTGTAGTTCCTGTTAGAAAAGGTTTCGAGCGTCATCTAGTGAGGATCCGAACAAGCACTTGAAACGTTTCCGAACCAGCCAAGGTATCTGAAGGTCCTTATGTTATTCACTCATTCCCTGACACCAAAACTAGTTTTAAATAACAAATACTTCAAATATCATTTCTTTGTGGTTGTATCTAATTTCTAACGATGCACTTTAAGTAAATTATTTGACTTTAAATTATATAAACGTTTAAGTGCCGTTATGAACAGTCTTTATTTGTTTATTGTCTTTGATATATTTATATATATGATAGACGCCCCCTCAGTTGCTCAGCGGTAAGCCCGAAGGCTTATAACGCTACAAACCGGGTTTCGATTCCCGTGGTGTACACAGCACTGATAGCCCATTGTGTAGCTTTGAGCTTAACAGCAAAGAAACATACGTATGACAGATGTCCAACTTTTAAAGTGTAAAATTAAAACAAGAAAAAGAAAATCACTAATGCACTTAAAAAGGGACAACGAAAGTTTACGAAAGGATATATCCTAAAGCATTTGAAGCATTAATTTATTGACTACATGAAGTGTTAGCTGCACTGAAGGTAGCTTGTCAACAGCATCTACCACCACCTCTCAGGCCACTAATCGAAGAGTGGGAGTTGACTGTCACTCTTATTATAACGAACCCACGGCACAAAATGCAGACAACGTTTTCGCACAACGAGCCTCGAACCGTGAACCCTCACCAACTACTAAGCCACAGCAGAAAATGTCTTTAGTCTAACGATATCAATGTTGACCAGCACTTCACAAATAAAATATCATTCTTCTTTTTTTTTTCTGTTTGTTTTGAACCAAGAAACTTGACATTAATCCCACATGAACGAAATTTATAGAACGACAATAGTAATGTTTGAAACTAGAACAAACCAGGGCCATGAGAAACCTTAAATTTCTAATTCTTTAAGCAGGTTTTCAAAACTATTTACTAAACAAAATAGCAACGTTTACATAGCAGTCTCTTAAGATTGGACTTGTTTGATTGGTTGAAATTTACACTGATAAATTTAATGCTTTTGACCATGGGCTACTTTTTTTTTTACCAAGATTTGGAATTTCCGCGAAACTGTTTCCTTGGACTTTATGAATGGCCAGCAAAAATAAAATACTTTGGTATGGATAGAGATTCTATTGTACATATTCTTAGAATAGTAACTGGCATGAATTTAATTAAAAAGTTGTTACATGTTCTGGACTTGTTATTTATACGTGTTTTATTTTGTTGTTGTTTTTAAAATTGTTTTGTCAATAACGCGAAAACGTGTTATTTAGTAAAATATGGGCCCGGCATGGCCAGGTGGATAAGGCGCTCGACTCACAATCTGAGGGTCGCGGGTTCGAATCCGCATCCCACCAAACATGCTCGCCCTTTCAGCCGTGGGGGCGTTATAATGTGACGGTCAATCCTACTATTCGTTGGTAAAAGAGTAGCCCAAGAGTTGGCGGTGGGTGGTGATGACTAGCTGCCTTCCCTCTAGTCTTACACTGCTAAATTAGGGACGGCTAGCGCAGATAGCCCTCTTGTAGATTTGCGCGAAATTCAAAAACAAAGAAACAAAACAAAAGTAAAATATGGGCATGGAACATTTTGCAGTCGATATGTCTCCCCCCTATATTTTACATCAGAAAGTTATTTTGTTAAGTTATAAAAGATTTATACAATATAGATTGAAAAAGTGTATTGAATAGATTAATATTTTGTGCCAATACTTTTAAAAATGATTCTAGGGACACGTGCGGACAAAATATTGTTTGACCTGTAATTTTGCATAGTGAACACTGTTTAAACTTATGTGTCACATAAATTATGTTATTTTTTTTTTCAGGAAAGAGAAGAAATTACAGTTGAATATATCATCACGATAATGTAAACTAAAGACTGCATATGTCAATGTCTAGAAAATCATATCACTTTAGCCAAACTCCTAAAGGGAAAGACGAGACTATGTCAAATGGTGGAACAGATACGTGTACAAATTCATATGAGTTCGGTTTTTTTTTACTCCGCTATAAATGTTATTTGGAATAGTCAACAACGTATTCCCATTTTTCTTTGTATGGTGCGTACAAAGAAAGACTCTTCTCAACAAATTTAGGGGGTGGCCAGTAAATAAAACACTTGACGACACAATTTTTCGTGAATAAAGATTTTTTTGTTCACTTGTGTAAATTATTCTCTACAGTACATTTCCCCAATCTGCATTGTGTGTATATTTTCAAACTTATCTGTTGCACAGCTGCCCGTTCCACTTGTTGATATGAGAGGTTGATATACTCAAGCAACCACATTTTTTCCAACGTGGACCTCCAGTAGAAACTGTATTCAAAAACAGTAGATGCAATGACATCTTTCATAAATACCCTCTCCCCCAAAAAGTGGTGTCTAATATACACATCGATCTAAACTTTCCTGAATATTGACATCGTTAATATGTAACATCACTTAGTCAGTTTCATTCAACATATTGCTATATTTCCCGAATAATCTTCCACTTCAATTTTTAATATAGGCCTATATAAGGAAGTGTCGCTAGGCACTGACACACGGGGCCCGTGGCTCGATTCTATTTTACAGTGTTCCGAATGTCCAGTTGGTGTCCTGAAAAATCAGAATAGAAAACCATGATCGATAACATACTGAAACGCCGAAAATTTCCGCGCCAATGGGCTCGAGCCCCGAATCCTTTAAGCACCTAGCGACACCTCTACCAACGTATATATATATATATATATATATATATATTTTTAATCCTACGAAAGGTGTGTGTGTTGGGAAGAGGGAGAGAAGGTAGAGACTTTCCTGGCTCTACTGCTCTGTGTACCACTGCATCACTTACGTGAAAATCACAACAAAAGTAGTTATAGCGATGCATTAATAACCATCATATTTAAAATAACGAAAGAAAGATGGCAGCACTTTACATGTAAGCAAATTCTTGGATTTTATATGTATGTTTTGTTAAGTGCACAGCTACACAATGAATGAGTTTTGGCCACTGCTGGTATTGGACCCGATTTTTAAATGTTATAAGCCTTCAGACTTAGCGTGGGGAGGCAAATTTTCGGATAGGAGCGCAACTTATCTCCCATTAATTAATCAAATGAAATAATGACTGTTGAAAAATTTTCATTTCTTCGTATTTTCATTCAATATTCCATTTGCTTACATACTTCAACAATAATGTTTCTGACCTTCCTTCGAATCAATAGGGTCAACTTTCTTTTCCGGATAATAACATTTTCTGGATTTTCCCTTTAGGAAAAGCTCCTCAAGTTAATATACTTAATTTTTGGGTCACCCACAGTTTGTTTTGAGGTTATCTTACATTTGGTAAGTCTATATATATTCCTTTGGAAGTTATTCTTGTAACACTCTTACTTCTAATTTGTTCGTTTCATTTTAGCGCAAAGCTACATATTGGGAAATCTGAGATCTACCTACTAGGGGGAATCGAACCAGGATTTTAGCGTTGTAAGTCCGTGAACTTATCACTGATCTACTGGAGGACTGTTTACAGTCAAGTAAACCTCTGCCTGTTTCACAAGTTTGTTGACCACTGTATGAATCAATGATTAAACAAACTGCATGACCCTTTATTTACTTTTATTTTATACACCATCATTCTTGCAAGTACAAGTTACAAGAGTTTTCAAAGTTGAGCTCGACTGTCTTGTGAATACTTTGGTTTGACATCTTTCATGACTTAGTGTCGTTGCAGAACGGGATGAGAACATTCAAGTCTTGATGTATGGATTTGATTCCCTCGACAGAAGAGGAAGAACATCCAAGTCTTGATGTAAGGATTTGGTTCCCTCGACAGAAGAGGAAGAACACCCAAATCTTGGTGTAAGGATTTGGTTCCCTCGACAGAAGAGGAAGAATATCCAAGTATTGGTGTAGAGATCTGGTTCCCACGACAGAAGAGAAAGACCATTGAGGTTAAGGATTATTAAGCTCGCTAAGTTGTCCACTAA